TCCAAAACTTGTTCTTCTGGAAACCCAAACACTGTATTGCTGCCTTGAAAAACCTGTTTGCCAAGGTGTGAGAGGAAGTTGTGACTGAAGCAGCAGTGACAGAGCCTCACACTGAGCTGTGTCTCCCTTCCTGCCTCTCCTGGGGACCTGAGCAGCTCTGAACAAAGACAGGGTGTGGTTACTTTACTCCGGGACCACACCTTGCCACAAGAACAGACTCTGTCCCTCAAAAACTCAAGGCCCAGTGACTGGGGTAAGATTTCAGAGTCTTGCCTGCCACCCTCTCGGGGAGGAGACAGGCTCCTTTCCAGTCTTATGTCACTGAGAAAAGTTGTTAAAGGCCATGCCATGCCACTGAGGAGCCTGAGGCACAGACACTGAGCCCAGGAGGTTTTGACCAGGCCAGGTTGTGCAGGTATGTTTTTGGTGATTAGAATATAAGTCTCCCTTGCTACCTTCCTCCACTTTTCTACATCCCTGTAATTCTGTTGTCATTTTCCTCAGATTTACATGTCTACGTATTTTTACTCTCCTCTTAGAATTAAGCATCTAGCTTGTGAACATAGGGTCTCCTTTCTTCCTCAGGTGCCACCTAGACACAGGAGACTTCCAGATCCTTGCCCTTTGGTAGCTGGAGGGAGGGACCTGTAAGGAAGACAGTGGGTACCCACTCTGGCATCACAAACCATGTGATTTCCTTGCCAGGATCCAGACTTGCCTCTCCCTCCACCCCTGTGAGAGAGCTTTGCTGCTGGTGTTATACTCTCAGGGGTAGTATAGTGCCCCTGGGTTGTTCATGGTGCAGCCTGACCCAGGCCTGGTACAGATGTGCTAGTGAGTGAATGAGCTCTAGGTTTGAACTGAACTGAACACTTGCATGTAAAACCAGCATCCCTAGGCCTTGAGGTCAGAAAATTGCAAAAGGCAGTGGGCAAGGAGTGGGTAAAGACTGCAGTGATAATCACTGGCATAGAACCAAGACTCAGACTCGGGGGCAGGGGGGACTGTACCCAGTTAAGCCTCCTTTGCACCCTGCTCACTGCTCCAACTAGAATGGACAATTTAGAGCTGATCTCTATCCAACTATAAGGAGGGATACCTCTTCTCTCCTCTCTCTCTGGGAACATAGGGCCAGGAGAGAAGGGACAGTGGTGCTGAGCACTTTAAGAATCATTCAAACCCAAATTAAAAATGCAAACGAGCCCCAGAAGTTAACTAATAATTTTTTTCTGCCTGAAAGTAGCAATAATAAAGAGTCAACTGAAATGCCCATATGTCAGTGTTTGTGAGGTGAGTGACCTAGTACTGTGGGCAGTAGTCTTAAACATTCTACCCTTCATTGTTGTGGATGAGGAAGTTGTCAGCAAAAAGCCTGGCAAAGAGAGGTTTTACAGGAAGGACTTGAAAGCAGCCTGGGTACAGGCCAGTAGGAGGAGGTACACAGAGCCTGCCCAGAATTACTGAGGTAAGGAATGCTGCAAGGAGACAGGAGATTTGCAGGCAGCTGCATGAAGGGGCCTTCACTTTCCTGAAAAGGACTAATTCCAAAGCACATGGAAAAAGGGAAGGGCTGCCTACTAGTCTACATGATCCAACATCTGATGCCATGTGCTCAAGGCCTCCCCACCAGTAATTCCCTCACTTGGTCAAAACCTCCTACCAGATCTTTCCTGGGGGCACTGTCAGTCCTTTAGGTTGACTCAAAACTGAGTCTGTTCTACACATACAGCACTGGGGACTAAGTGAGGGGAAGGACTTCCAGGTGGTTGGGGGAGACCCTAAGGAAAATACCCATGCCGGTTGGCACATATCCTGCTCATGAAAGTCATCAGGACAACTCCTCTCCACCGTGGTCCATGGCCTCCTCTGCCTGCACTGTAGCACCAGCTGCTTCATTCTGGACTATCACCCACATTGGCCTCAAGAGGGACTTCTAAAAGGCAATCTCACCACCTCCCCTCAATGGCTTTGCTCCAGTCAGTGGGAGTCATGAATAAAAATAAGACAGTTAAAAACTCTAAGGACTCATGTCTAAGGCAGTTAGGTCCCAAATCAGCAGTTGCATTTGGAGAAGTAAGCAGGGGTGTTCTGGAGCTCAGGGTGTTCCGAGGCTGGGAGCCAGAGAAGGCTTCTGAGGAAAGATGATGGTGGAGGACATGGTACTCACAAAGACCCGGAGAGGAGAGTGAGCATATCTCATTCCAGTGGCCCCCCATCACGAAGCCTAACAGCAAAGAAGGCTTATAACCCCAATTCTGAGGGGTGTAGTGGAAAGGATAGTCCCCATAAGGTGCACACAGGACAGCACCCTGTGACAGATGACAGGGCCACGTGTTCATCTGTACTCTTCAGAATGACCAAAGGGAAAAGAACATGACAGACACAGCAGGAGAGGCTAGGACTATGGGAGGCATGAGCTATCCAAAAGGAGAGAAATGGTAGTTGGTGACCAAGAATGATAAGGCTGGGAAGCTAGGAGATCTACTAGCCTAGATTCCAAGAATTACACAGTCTTCAATGAAGATCCAGCCAAGAGCCTAAGGGATACCTGGCTAAGATGCTGGACAAGTATCTTCCATGTACTGTGAACTGTAGGTAACACAGGCTGGACTCAGGGAAATGATCCTAAGAGCAATTTTCTTAAGCTGGTTGCTCAGTAGGACATTCTTTCCACACTTCTAAATTAAAGTTTAAGCCATTGCCATTTTATGGTTACAGTTACATGGAAATTCTGGCATTTTAAGTATAAAGATGCAGCCTCAAGTTCTTAGAAATTGTGATGCCAAGTGCCTCGGACTATTTAATAGTTCAGTCTTCATTCAGCAGGCAGCCTTCTCTTCCCTGTGCATCCTGCCTTCTCTAGAGCTGGCTTCTGGATATCTGCCAGCACTGGGGAGAGGGAACATGACCGTCATCAGTTTGCTGTCTCCCTCCCCTCATGGGAAGTGCTGCTGCCAAGCCTGGGAGCTGTGACTGAAGAAGGAAGGAGACATGCTCTTGGCACAGAACTTCTGACTTGAGCAGAGCTCTCCTGAGAAGGCTTTGCTGGAGAACTTAGAAAAGGCAGAAGGCTGGCTCTTTCCTGGGGATATCCCTGGGAGTGTTCAGGGTCCCTCAGAGTGACACTAAGACATACCAGTTTCATGGCTGCGACCATTCAATGTTCGCTGCCTTATTTTGTCAGCTTTGAGATTATGTGGCCAAACCTGTTGGTTTAGGATTAGACCAACTGCAAAGTTTGTGCTTAGCCTCCAGCCCTTGTGAGGAGGCAGCTGAGGACATGGTGTAGGGTACATAAGCAGCAGAGCCCTGAGGGCCCAGGTGACCTTACTGAGTGTGGAGAACAGAACATTGTGAGCTCAGCTCCCTTCTCCCTGCTGTCCCTCATCCTTCTCTGAAAGAATGAGCCACAGGCAGCACTATGGCATTCTCACTGGCCTGAGCTCACACCTAGCCTCTATCCCTCCCTAACAACATCCATGCAACTGCAAGCCACGTTTCCCACTTGCTCTCCACAAAGTTCACACCAGGGACTGTCCTTCACATTGTTCTGATGTTGCTAACAGTTGCTGAGCCCCTTACCCATCTCACTTGGGTAAGTTGACAATCACTTATCTACATGTAAATACATGCGAAAAGCACTTTTGCTACAAATCTGCCTCTCTGTCCTTCTGTCTGTCCCCTAACTGAAATCGGTGTTAGACTCTGCTGTACTCAATTCCAGTTAGCTACTCTGGCAGAACCAGTTCCAACTCTTGTGACTCAAAATGGTCTATACCTGTTGTTCTGGGCTACAGGGCCAAGCCAAAAGAAATCCACGGCTCTTCTTTCTTTCCTTTTTTTTATCCCCTAAGGAAAAGAGAAGAGAACATGTTCCCTACACCCAACCCTATGCTTCTCGCCACAGGCTGAGATAGGGATGCATGGCCAATGGGGTCCCTTTATCCACCCCAATCTGAGACTGGCCTACTTATGCACAGCAACACAACACTCACAGAGTGAAAGGTCTAAATTTCACTATTATGGGATGATATTAACAAGCATTGTGCCTGGCATCTGGACCTAGATGGTGACTGATATTAATTTATCTATGTTAGTACTGAGAACCAAGTAGCCCAGAGTTTGCAGAGGATCTGGGGAGTACATTCTAATCTTCTTGGTGCTTCGAGGTAGGCAGTACTCAGGGCATGTTGATGAGCAGAATACTTAAACTCGGAGACAGCAACTTGTCCAAAGTTATCCAAAGTTTAGTAAAAGACATGGTGGGGACCAGAAACCAGGCTACCAGAATCTTAAGAGACAGTCTTCCTCAGTGAACTCTACCTTTTGCAAGGTAGAACTTGACCTCATCTACTCCATCTGTCATAGCCCAGGACAGGAAGTGTAGATTGAGCATCAGAAGATGTAAATTTGGCCTGCCTTGACACAAATTGCCCTGTTCTGTGCAAGAAAAATTTAGCTTTCTGTTTCCTCCACTGTAAAACAAGGAACCTTGGTGGGTTGGAGGTAAGGGCATAAGAGGCAGTGGCGGCTTTACAAGGATGGTCACAGACTCTTCCTGTCTTCCCTCCTCTTGCTCTTATTGAGGAAAGGAAAGTTGTGTTAAACTGATGACTAGGAAACTTGAACTTCAGCCTCAGCTCCACATTCACTATCTCCAGTTCTTCCACAGAGCAGCTGCTTGAGCTGCTGCTTGGGCACCTTGATTTCTAAAGTGTGTGTGTGTGTGTGTGTGTGTGTGTGTGTGTGTGTGTGTGTGTGTGTGTGTGTGTGTGTGTGTGCTAATACAATGGCAGCAGGCAAAGAGAGGGAAGGAGGGAGGGAAGAAGTCTTGCAAGGGAAGGCACAGCAGTTAGGAGGAAAGTGGGCAGGACTTCACATGCTAGCAGGACTCTTTGCTTTCTCAAAGGCTAATGAAGCTTGGGTTTGTCAATCATTAAACGGAAGGAATGAAGCCAGGAGGACATCAAAGTCCAGCCTGCTGGGAATGACAGTAACCGATGAGCAAGGAGCTAGCAGCAATGGAGCCTGGAGATTCAAGGGATGGAGTCAGCACTGAGACAGCACCATACCCAGCACTGGGCTCTGGGGTCAGCCTGCATGCCTATGACATCGTGGTGGTGGTCATCTACTTTGTCTTCGTCCTTGCTGTGGGAATCTGGGTGAGTGAGGATTAAGCAATGCTGAAATCTGACCAAGAAGCAGAGAAGCCTTTCATCTTGAGCTGGGAGAGGACAGGGGAAAAGGGATGAAGAAGAATACACAACCACAGATAGCTGACATTAATGGTACTTTAGGAATCACCCACTCCCATCCTGCCCTTCTGTATATGGATGACTGAGGCCCAGAGAGACCTATGGCCTCCCTGAGCAATACACAGTGAACCAGAGGCAGGTCAGGCTATGAGCTCAGACATCCAACCTGTTTAGTCACTGTGAATTTGACTCTCCTCTCCTTTGCCTCAGGTCTCCCAACTCAGAGTAAGATCAACACCTAGCCTTCCTCCCCTTCTATTAGTGTCTTAAACAAGGAACTCAGACTCGCATGCTCTCAGGCAATAGTGCCTTCCAGATTCCAATGTTCCTATTGTTCAAAGAAACCACAAAGCTGTGGGCAAGTGCAAGGCTTTGAGGTCAGAGAACCCCGAGCCCAGCAGTTAAAGCTATGTGGTCCTGGGGACGTAGAAACCTCTGACTTTGCCCGTGTGTTTGCAGTTGATACTGTTGAAAGTTATAACCATTCAGTGACAGGGCACACATAAGCACCTGGCACGGTACCTGGCATGCAGGGAGCAGGAAATAAACATCTGCTGTTATCAACACAGGAGTCTGCTGAGAGGTCAGTACCTTTGGACTGCTGTGAGGCAGATTATCACCCAAGTCTCAGCTGGTGAGGAATACCTATGGACCTCAGGCCTCTCTTCTGCGAGGGGAGGCGCTAACCCTCACTTGTCAGGCTTGGTTTGAGAAAGAAGTGGGCAGACAGGAGATCAGCAGTCCCTGCGAGGTGGCCAGCATGGGAACCCCAATTCCCATGTGTGTTGGACAAGTCCTTTCCTGCTCTGTAGCCCAATTTCTCATCTGTGAAATGAAGTTTTACTGCTACTGTTGCCACCAAGATGATCAGAGGTGACACAGGAAAGTTCTAGCCAAAGCTTAACACATGTCAGGTCCTGTACATGTGTGTATCACTCCCCAATGACTAATTACCTTTTGTTTTCCCTTCCTCTACTTCAAGGATTTCTCTTTCCTAAGATCTAGCCAGACTTGTTGTCTCCCACTCTGAAGTAACTTCTACTCCTGTGTCAGCTTTCTCTTGTGACAAAACTTTGTTAATTAACTTGAAGAAGTAAAGATGTGTTTAGGCTCCAGGTTTCAGAGGTCTCAGACCATTGTCAGCTAATTTCATTACAGTGGGTATGTGGGAAGGCAACAGGAGCATGTAAAAGAGGAGGTTGATCATCTGTGAATGCTGGGAAATAGAAGAAAATGATGGTGACAAGATATAATGTTCAAATTCATGCCCTCTATGACCCATTTGCTCTAACCAAGGCTCATTTTCCATAGTTTCTACTGCTTCCCAATAGCCCATTCAATTTTGAATCCATCAAAGGGGTTTATATATTGATTAGGTCAGAGTCCTCATAATCTAAACTCTTCCTAAAATCCCCATGTCTGATAGTGCACTGCAGACTAAGTATTTAACGCACAAGGCTTTGGAACATTTAAACACAAATTGCAACACAACTTTGCCCACCATCAGCCCACACCACAGATTCTCATCATGCCCTGCCAAACCACCCCTAGCCACCCTGAGCCTAACTTATAGCCTCTTCTCTACATCAAAGGTGGAGAAAGCTTGGCTATCATTCCAGTCCTGTTAGTGTCTTGACCAAGAAGTTTGGGCTTATGTCCCCAGAGAAAGAGCTTACCCTCCTTGCACCACCTCACCCTTCAGAGCATATCCCAAAATAGGCTGTTGACTGGCTACCTACTGGCTCCTTCCAGTTCTGACTCCAAGTCATATCAAGGAATGTCAAAACAGAGTTCTTCCTTCTTGCTAGTGTTCAGAATGGCTAGAACCGTACACTCTCCAGTGTGGGTGTCTGTCTAAAAAAAAAGAAGAGGCTAGCTTAGGGGAGAGTCAGTCATTATGCACCTGAGGCAGATTTCAACCACCCCTTGGAAGAAGTCATGAACAGAGGGAAGAGTAAGGAGACACTAATTACCTTTCAGTGTTTTCATGGTGTTCTGCTATTCCTGAGGACCTTGCCTCCTTTGTTTTTCACATCAGTCCTGAGAAACAGATGGAGAGTGAAACTAGCATAGAGGGCATGACTCTCCCACAGACCCATAGTTTTAAAAAGTCTGATGATATAGGTATACAGACAGTTCTGCTCTACCTTAGTCCTTGTCCTCTTGGTCTCCACAGTGCCTATACCAAGGGGGCAGTTAATCAAGGGGTGGAAGATAGGGACTGTAAGAGCCTTGGGGAGTACTAACATCTTTGCATATTCTTTCCAGTCATCTATTCGTGCAAGCCGAGGGACCGTTGGTGGTTATTTCCTGGCTGGGAGATCCATGACCTGGTGGCCAGTGAGTTGACCTTCCTCCCTCCTCTTCCAGCATATATTACCAGCTTTGGCCATCCATGACCTCCTCTCAGATTTTCTTGCCAGAACTACATCAACACCCTCTTACTTTTTTGCCCAGCTCTGGATTCCTATCTTGCCCCAATCATCCAGCAGCCTGAGACATCTCCCCCAGGTGCCTCCTGTGCATGTCACAGATGACTGGCTGGGGGTTCTTTTGCTCTATCCAGACATAAACCAGAGGCAGGAAAGGAACATAGTATTGATAGCACTCAATTCTAGAAGTTTGTAAGCTGGGATTCCAAACAGAAGCTTTCAGCTCTATACTGTAGAACTGGAGTCTCATGGCCCCAGCTTTTAGAACCAGAAAGTTATTGTTCTTGGTGCTCAGGGCAGGGGTTGCTGCTATGAGCTTGAAGCTCCAACACCTAAGGACTAAATAAAGGTAGCTGAGGCCTTCAACTCTTTAACCCTTGGTGTCTCTCTCAAACTTTTCCAGTGATCCAGATTTACAATCTTGTACTCTTGGCTACCATTCAGCTCTTCATAATAAGCTTCTTGCAGTTTCTGACCTCAAATTTTTTTTGTAACTTTTCAGCCTAGTGTTGTGTGTCGGATCTTTGAATAACAAGGTCCTTAGCTCTCAGAGGATCTCTGGAATTCTTAGCTACCTCCTCACTACTAAGGTTGCTATGCCCTATGATCTAATATCTGCTCTTCGTGCAACCAAACCATCATGTTCTACTTATAATAAAGACCCCTTGTAGAGATCATTTATGCAAAATGTTCAACACTGAGATGCAGCAGGGAGTTTGGAGAAATACACAGAAGAGAAGCATCCCAAGCTAATTAATTTTATATATTATATATATATAATATATATATATATATAATATATATATATATGACAACCAACCAACCAACTAATATGGCCAGAAAAGAATGGAAGCACACTTACAATTAATTTGTAATTAATTTTTAATTAATTATATTATTTATTAATTTGAATATAATTTCACCAATCACAGCCTGGTGTCTATATAGCTTCTAATTCCATTAATCACACTCCTTACACAAGAACCAATTGCAAGCCTCACACTGCACCAATCACAGACTTTTTGTGCCCTTGGGAAATTGCTTCCCTTCTGTGTTGCATGAGTAGCTATAGGATGAGTAGAGTCATTCATTATCCACTGAAGGTAATTTAGCCCAAAGTGTGGTCTTTCCAATCCAGTGCATGTTTTCTGAAGCGGTCATGACAGTAGTACAGCCTCCCAAAGCAGCCGTTTGTGGCTTCCACAGCATCGTAGTTGCAGCATTCCTCTGAAGTTGGAGTAGAGTTTCCTCAGTGGATTCATGAATTATTTGAAGCAGCTGGGATGTCATAACAACAGTCTTTGCCATCCACCCAATAGGAACTGCTAGCTTGACAGCTACCTGATCAAGGCATCCGGGTTTCAGGGAGGGATTTGTCAGCTGTCAATCAAAGGGCAGAGCAGCCCATTCTCTCTACAGTTTCACTCATTCACAGGAAACAAACAAAAGCAAAATGTAAAGACCTCAGAAATAAATATTCTTAACACTTTCAGTGCTCAATCTGGCATCCAAACACCCAGGGAGAGTTCAATCCCCCTGCTCTATCTCCAGGTGTGAGCCTCATGTTGAGCACTGGATCTAATGAAATATAGCTGGAATTTCCTGCTATAGAGACACTCAGAGTTGAGTAGGCATACAGACTTATGAATAATGTAATCAAACCTGGGACAGAGGGAGGTACTGGGTTTCTCAGCTGGGTCTCGGGCAATAGGTGAATAGGAAATAGGAGTTATTATTTTGAAAGAATGACACCTACACTTAATAGTGTAGTAAAGAACAGTGAATTGAGAATCAGGGGCAAGCCTCCAACCATCTCCAAAATTGATCCCCAGCATTTGTGAACCCCCATCTCTCCTATCAGACCATACCCTACATTTCTACTGAACCTTGAAAATTAACTTCCTCTTCCCAAAGTGGGATGAAGGAAGATCAGGCCTACCTAGAAACCCAGTCACATCAAACTGACACAAACTCTCACATGCTCGTTCATGTACTCATACGCTCTCATCTTCTCACAGTCACACATCCACATACTAAAGCAGTCATATAGGTACATACATACAAGCCAACATTCACATATACTCACACATGTGCATACATGTACTCTCCCACTCACTTTCATATATTCATTCACATAATCTTACACTTAAAGACTCCCACATACTCTTGCCTTCTTACTCCCTCATTCACTCTTCACTCACTCTCACATTCCCTCATACTCATAACATCAGTCATTTTTGACCTTCTGTTTTAACGATGCTCACTATCCCTGCCCACCATGGCTCACATTCTGCTCTCTAAAAAGAAGAGAAAACCCTGAAAGCCTTTGGAAGTTTCTGAAAGATTTTGGTTATCTGGAGCAGGAAGATCTAAGGACAGGGAACCTATGTATCAACACGATAACTACCTAAGGACGTTTGAGTCTGGGAACCTAGAAGTTCACAGGGATAATGAAAAATGACTGGTGCTTCCAGCTACTCCCTTGTGAGGAGAAAGAAAAACCCCATGGGAATGGTTCTGTTTAGACAGTGCCTCAAAAATCACAGCCTCTAGCTGCCTCCTCACTGTAAGTGGTCCTAAGACAAGATTGCTCCAAACTAACCTCACTTGTGCCTTTCAGATCGGAGCATCTCTGATGTCCAGCAATGTGGGCAGTGGCTTGTTCATTGGCCTGGCTGGGACAGGGGCTGCTGGAGGCCTTGCTGTCGGTGGCTTTGAGTGGAATGTAAGGATGCTGACCTGACTGCTCCAGGGTGTTGAGGGTCAGAACCATCTCCTATGCCTGGCCTTAGGGATGAAAGATATCTTAGAGGTACTTGGGAGGCTGTGTGGTAAACAGAGGACCTATTATATAGATGATAACATCAACGCCTTATAAAAGAAAGAAGACTCATCTGAAATTATCCAGAAAAACTGGGATGAGGACCCAGGTCCCTGGTTTCCCCCCTCATGGCTCTCCCATACAACATGCTATCTCTGGGTAAGAAGCTGCCAATCTTTCTAAAATTAAAATAACTTCTCTATGTTCTCCCAGGCAACCTGGCTGCTTGTGGCCCTGGGCTGGATCTTCGTCCCTGTGTACATCGCAGCTGGTGTGGTCACCATGCCAGAGTACTTGAAGAAACGATTCGGAGGACAGAGGATCCAGGTGTACATGTCAGTCCTGTCTCTCATCCTCTACATCTTCACCAAGATATCAGTGGGTATAACTCCAAGGTGGCTTCCTTACCATGGACTTTATGCTGAGCTCACTGATGGCAGGGAGGGATGGAAAGAAGGAAAGGGACATGGAGGAATGGAAGAAGAAAATGAAATAAAAGAGTGTGTGGATGGAATGAAGGATAAAAGGAAGGAAAGATGAACCCACCTGACTTCAGAAGTGGGAAGATCAGAAATGAATGATAACTGTTTTAAGTGAATATTGATCTTTCACACAAGAAACTACCAAACTAGGGTCTACTCTTTCATGTTTCCATTAACTGATACTTCATTCAGCAACTCTTTATTAATTACCTAGAATGTTAGAGTCAGAAAAAAACATTACTATTGCTTTATTGAACTAAACTCAGAAAACAAACCTGGACAAGTCAAGTGAATTGTCCAAGTCTATACAAAGGACTAGGTCTGGAATCAGAACTGGATCTTGACTCCCATTTCCTAAGAGGATTATGTCCCTTCACTATCTTATTGTGGACTCTGTAATTAGTTTATGAACTATCATATGATGAGATGAGCAAATAGACTGAAGAGAACAGAATCAGTCAGGTGCCAGATCTAGCAATGAAATTATTTTCAGGACCAACACTGTTAGCTGAGGCAAAGTCTTTACCCCAAGTCCCATAATAACCCAAGCATAAGGGTTACCCAGAACCCACTGTTGCCTGCCCAGACAGTCCTGCAGGTTATCTCATGGAGCAGCCAGCAACCTGCACAGTTCCTACCCTCTCCTCCCAAATGTTCTCTTCTCCACCTCCAGCTTCTAGCTTTACTTTCTCCATCTTCCACTTTTATTTCTTACCCTGACCTTCATAATATACAGATAAATCTCTCAAGGCTAGCTGATTATTTTTTTTTTCATTCAAAACATTATACAGTATTGTTTCACTCTAAATTCTACCATGCCTCCATGTGTACAAGGTCAAGCCCACATTCCATAGTGTGGCACTTTAATACCAAGACCAAACTCACTAGCATGGCTCTCCAGCCTTGTCTCCATTGTTTGATAAGGTAGGTGACACACCCACAACAATCATTCTGGAAGCATTGGGTGGCATGAACTTGTGGATCCTTGCTTTCTACAGACAGATATCTTCTCTGGAGCCATCTTTATTCAGATGGCCTTAGGCTGGAACCTCTATCTCTCCACGGTGATCTTGCTGGTGGTGACAGCTGTCTACACTATTGCAGGTAGGAAGGGGGAAAGGCCATATCGATATGTAGAGACCATGAGATGAGGAAAGAAGCTTTCACTGGCAAGTATATTGAAAGACAGAAAGATAAAGATAGACAGAGACAGGCAGAAGACTGATGATCCAGAGAAAGACAGTGAGATAGGGAAAAACAGAGACAAACTAATGAAGACAGAGATATACTGTGAGAGCGCACACAGAGGAAGATGAAATGTCAGGAGGAGAGAAATAGGGGTGGGAATGGCAGAGATGGAAAGCCTACCAGGCAAAGGCAGGCAATGAGAGAGATAAGGGTTGTGCAAGGACAAGGTGGGAAATCAGTGAACTGCCGTCTGGGTCATAATCACTGTGGCAATGCCATGAATCTGCTCTGCTCTGTTTCCTTCAGTTCATAGAACTGGGTGCCCTGGGACAACAGCCCAGGACAGAACAACTTATGGCTAAGTTGGCTTTGAATGTGGAGACATATAGATGGGCTTTTGGAGGGAAAGCAGAGAACCTGGGGATAGTAATGGCAAGAACAACAGGCTATTGTTGATGTGGTGACCAGATCTTGCCAAGAAAGAATTCCATCAAAACATACTGGTCTGTAACCAGCCAGCATAATCCCTAGGTGCGATAGAGAGAGAAGAGATGGAGAAGGGTCTGTCACCAAGGTTCCCTGCTAAAAGGGCTCTGTGTCTTCTCTGGTCTCCCCCAGTGTAGCTAAACACAGGGCAGACAGCCAGAGGGAAACTTCCCCTTCCCATGATGCTGACTGATGTATCCTCTCCTTGGGTACCCAGGAGGGCTCACCGCTGTGATCTACACAGATGCTCTACAGACTGTGATCATGGTAGGGGGAGCGCTGGTCCTCATGTTTCTGGGTAAGAAAACGATCTAAATACACCCGATCCTTGACCCCTAGAACTTTCTATAGCATTAGACCATATCCCTTTTCTAGGCCAGGGCTCCCTAAAGTCAGGATTCTCTCTATTCCAAACCAAGAATCTTGAACCCAGAGCCCAGCATTCTCATCCATTCTCAATTCTCAAGTCATTTCAAACCCAGAGGCTCACATGAGGCTGTAAGTTGGACCTTCAGGTCTACTTCTCACCCCATGTCTCTTCCCACAGGCTTTCAGGAGGTGGGCTGGTACCCAGGCCTGCAGAAGTTATATATGCAGGCCATCCCCAATGCCACAGTTCCCAACACCACCTGTCACCTCCCACGGCCAGATGCCTTCCACGTGCTTCGAGACCCTGTGAATGGGGACATTCCCTGGCCAGGTCTCATTTTTGGGCTCACAGTCCTGGCCACCTGGTGTTGGTGCACAGACCAGGTAATATCCTCATCCTGGCGTTGCCCAGCAGGGGCTTCCTGAAAACAAATGAACAGGCAGTTGGGTACATAGAGGGTTGGACATCATCCTGGGGCTGAGTGGAGGCAAATAGTGACCAGTGTTGGGGCTCACCTGCACTGAGCTAAGTCTCTCACTGACATATCTCCACTGCTATTTATGCCTATCTCACACTATTTCAGGTGATTGTGCAGAGGTCTCTCTCTGCCAAGAGTCTTTCCCATGCCAAGGGGGGCTCAGTGCTGGGGGGCTACCTAAAGATCCTCCCAATGTTCTTCATTGTCATGCCTGGCATGATCAGCCGGGCCCTGTACCCAGGTAAGAGCTAGTGCTGCTCTCTGTGCATGGTGGGTTTGCAGGACACTTTCGGAGAAGGTTTTCCTGGGACAGGTGAACTACAGCAGGGGCTGGCAGGGTTTCTCGATTAAGAGAACCAAGAAAGCATTTTAGACTTTGTACTGGAGTAGAAGAAATCTATCTGAAGGCCATTTTAAACTTTTCCCCTTCATATGGAGAAGAAACAAGACATTATTGGATCCTCCCAAGGATATTTGTTTTTATCAAAGGAATCAGACAAGCTTTGCAGTGTAGTTCATACACAAATCTATAGGCAATCAGACCACCTGTCATTTGACCTTCTAGACTAGGTTGGAATCTCCAGTAAATGTATTCCCATAGCATCAGAAGGCAAATAGTGGGTCAACATAAAGAGGTACAGCATCATGCAGCTTCTTTCTTTTGCAGATGAAGTTGCCTGCGTAGACCCTGACATCTGTCAAAGAGTGTGTGGGGCCAGAGTGGGATGTTCCAACATCGCCTACCCAAAGCTGGTCATGGCTCTCATGCCCGTGGGTGAGTCTTAGCTCCCCTACCCATTTCCACTACCCACTACATCCTTCAAGGCTCACTACCCAGAAGGACTGCACTACAAATAGATGGAAAGAGAGATGAGAAAGACCCACCTCTGCCCCCACCCTAGCATACACACATACACACACACACACACACACACACACACACACACACACACACACACACATACACACACACACACACACACACACACACACACACACATACACACACACACACACACACACACACACACACACACACACACACACACACTTCCTCAAGCTTTCTTAAGGCACCTGCTGTGTGTTCTAGGAATTGGAAATGCATTGTTAAAAGGCAGTTCTCTGATCCTAGGCTCTCTGTGGTTTCCAGGGACTACCTGGGTTCCCCAAGAGTATAGGACATGGTGACCAAGCCTGAAGAGTGTCAGAAAAATTCTCCAAAGAAAAGAAATACTGCTGAGTCACAAGAATACCTTGTCAAAGACCAAGAGCATAGGAAACACCATTGTAGAAAGATAGTGCACATGCAAATGACCAGGGTGGAAAGATCGTGCAATGTGCAATGCACCATCAGCAGAAAGGATGAATGGAGACAGCTTTCCATGGGAATGCTATGGCCAAACATCATGCAGGAGCACAGCCTCTTCTCTGAGAGCAAAGGAGGGCACTGGAGACTGGAGGGAGCTTTGTCCAAGCTCGAATGCTTGAAGAATTCAGCATGGAGGGAGATTTGGAGGGGAAAGTCAAGGAAACATAAGGTTCTGCAGTGAGGGTTCTGCACTGGTCCATATAAGTGACATCAGTGACTTGACCAGACCAATGACTTCAAAGATGAAGAGAAGGCATTTGAAGATAATTGTGAAGTATGATTGACAGGCTTTGATGACTCAATATTCATTAGTTACAAGAAAGAGAGAGGCCCAAGTTGATTCCAATTTTTGATCTTCAGAAGATGGGTTTGTAATGATACTGAGCCAAAGAACTAGAAGGCAGTAGATGAGTGGTTATTGCTTCTCTTTAGTAGTTATAGCAGTCAGAGAAATAGCAGAAACAGTGAAGGTCCAGCTAGGGCCAAGCAGTTAAGAAAAGGAAGGAATGGGGAGAGATAAAAGAAGGGTCTAGGATAATTATGACATCAGTGAGGGAACCCAAAAAGGTGTTATTAGCCAGAGGGAAACGAAGGATTCAGGACAGGGATGTGTCGGTTTGGAACCCTGGAGTCCAAAGCAACTACAAGGACTTGGTTACACATACACATTTGGAGAAAAAGAGGCCCCGGGTGAGCCAGAGAACTTTAGGGAGACATCTCCCAGTGTTGAAAGGTCATTTCCAGAAGCCTGGACATCAGAGGTAGAAATTTCAAATATCAGTGTACCCTCTAATATTTTCAGTGTCCAGGTAAAAAAAAAATTGGGTCCAAGAAAAGAGAGCTCCTAGTCCTAAGATCATTTATCTAGTTACCCACAAAGCCAGGAAACAACCCAGGTTTCTGTCTCTAAGACTGGGACTTCAGGCAGTGATCATAAATAAAGTGGTATGAAACACCTCTTTTAAAAGTATATAAAACATGGCATAAAGATTAAAATATGTCATCAGCCACCCTCTTGCTCCCAGCCCCAGGGACCCACCATCATCCACAGCTATGAAACCAAGACACACAACAAGACTTCAGAAAACCTCTTATCATCTCGGTTCATGTACAACTTGTCATGCACAGGGGGGATGAAGGCTCAGAGAGTCCTGATGGGCTACCTAAGGCCACAAAGCAGACACAGAGGCTGGCCAGAACCTGGCCTCAAGCACTGTGGGTTTCCTGGTTCTGTATCTGTCCTAGATGGGACCCTCCCCAGCACCCACATCATCTCATCCCCACCCCAAAACTTTTGGCTTTGTGCAACCTCCATTGTCCTGGCAAAGCCCTTAAATGGACAGCTTTCCACTCAGCCTTGTCTCTCCCCAGGTCTGCGAGGCCTGATGATTGCCGTGATCATGGCCGCCCTGATGAGCTCACTCACCTCCATCTTCAACAGCAGCAGCACGCTGTTTGCCATAGATGTGTGGCAGCGCTTCCGCAGGCAGGCAACGGAGCAAGAGCTGATGGTGGTAGGCAGGTATGCTGACCCATGCTTCCAGAGCACCCTTTCTATGAAGAATTCCCTTTCCCATCTCCCATGCTGCTTTCTGGGAAGACCAGCTAGTTCTTGACCCCAGGCTTGCAGTCAGACAGTGGGTTTGTGTGACTTTGCATTAACTCCTTTCCCAGAACCCATCTCTCTCAGTTCAGAATAACAGGGAAAGGGGAGAAATCTGTCTTTGTCTGTTTAACTAGCAAGTTCACTGTGAGATGGTAATGTATGTAAACCCTGACTGATAACGTGTAAGTGGAGGAACACCTCACACCCTGAAGTCTTTTAAGTCATCTCTGGCTGTTATTCTAGGACAATGAGAATGCTACTAATCTAACCCACCAGATATACATAGAACAAACACCATCATTTGTTACACTGTTGTACTGGGGCCACACAGATGCTGGGAATCAGAAAGAAAGATCAAGTGAGTGGTCCCTGGACCAGAGAAGGTCTGTGGGTTAGAATCTCAAATACTAAAAGGCAGAAATTAGACAGCTAAAATCCTAGAATTTGGAACTTCAGAATTCAAGAAACCTTAGTATGCATACATTGGATGGCTTCAAGGTTGTCCTGTACACCCACTGATGAGGACTAATCCATACCTTCCACCCCCAGCCATGCACTGAAAGGTCTCAGCTGAGGATGCCTTTCTTCCTCCTTGCATTTAGCCCTGTCTAGCGCAGTTTACTTCTCTAGGATGGCTCTAGCCTTACATTGGCCCTGAGTCTGTGCTTCTTCTCTTTACCCCCCTTGTCTGATTCTCACTCAGCTCTCAGGATGTCCCCAGCTTACAATGAAGAGAAAACTTCAAGAGACAGTGAGGTGTAGTCTTGAGGGAGATGTCCACAGAGAAGTCGTCTCCAAATGACCTACAAGCTTTGAACACCAAGATATGAATGTTGAACTTCACCTTGAATGTAGTAATTTTTATTTTTAAAAGCACAACTTAGTGGTAAATTTTCCTATTCTCCACAGACTAGGGATTCAGAGTTCCCATGAGGGTAAAGGGCTGAAATCGCTGCTTCACAATTCAAGTCTCCCAGGCCCTGGCTTCAAAACTGAAGAGCACATTTCAGCCTCTTTGTTGATTAGAGATGTGGGATTAGACATCTCACTCTTCACCAACACTGTCTACTCCTGGGTGTTTTGTTTCTGGCTTAAGGCCTGCTCATCTGCACACACCTAGACAGTGACCCAGCATCTAAGAGTAGGACTGGAGAGGGAATGAACATCAAGGAGAACAGGTGGGCAGTTACTTCTCTAACAGGACCTGGGGAAAAGGAAGTGAGAGTAAAAACGGAGGAGAGGAGAATATTTCAGAAGTAAGTATTGCTCCTTTCTACATGCCAACAGGGCTATAGTTCTCAATTAGTGTGACTTGAGCTCCATCTCCTGGTCATATGCATTATTGCATTCAGCCCATCCAAGAAAATACATCCTTTCTTGTTCAAAGTCAGGCACCAAGAGCACTTTGGGAGCTTAGGCATGAGTGAGAATTAGCCAAGAGGGGGTAAAGAGAAGAAGCACAGACTCAGGGCCAATGTAAGGCTAGAGCCATCCTAGAGAAGTAAACTGCGCTAGACAGGGCTAAATGCAAGGAGGAAGAAAGGCATCCTCAGCTGAGACCTTTCAGTGCATGGCTGGGGGTGGAAGGTATGGATTAGTCCTCATCAGTGGGTGTACAGGGCAACCTTGATGCCACCCAATGTATGAATATCAAGGTTTCTTGAATTCTGAAGTTCCAAGTTCTAGGATTTTAGCTGTCTAATTTCTGCCTTTTAGTATTTGAGATTCTAACCCACAGAATGTATGATTTCCATGCATACTTCATCCTGTCCATGCTCATGTGAGTGGTATTCACAGTGCCCTGTGCTCTTCCCACAGGTTGTTCATAGTCTTACTGGTAGTCATCAGCATCCTCTGGATCCCCATCATCCAAAGCTCCAATAGTGGGCAGCTCTTTGACTACATCCAATCTATCACCAGCTACCTAGCCCCACCCATCACGGCCCTCTTCCTGCTGGCCATCTTCAGCAAGAGGGTCACTGAACCTGTGAGTGTAACAACTCTGCCCCTCCCCCACACATCACAGGATCTGGAATAAGGGTCTGTCACTCATCTGGTTTCTAAGACCTTGGGCAAAGCCACTGCCTTCTCCAGGTATTTAACTCTTACCATGAGGTCAAGATTCTCTCATTTGCCCAGTAAACACTTACCAACCCAAATATAACATCTCTAGGGATATAACAGTTTACAAGGTTCACATGGGTCTGCCATCTTGAGCTGTCAGGGAAGAAAGGTGATTAAATAAGCAATAATGGCAAAGGACAATGGCCTCTGGGAAAGCAAAGAGCCAGTGAAGAGACTTCTAGGAGAGGGGCAGACTTCCTGAAAGAAGTGGCATGTGAGACAATTCCTGAAGGGTCAGTGGTAGAGGAGGAGAATGCTGGACAAGAGAGACTTGTGGAAGTATAGGATAGCCTGAGGCTCTATGGCTCTACAGTCTCTGCTCCACCTCTAAACCTGTATCCTACTATGTATAAGCAAAGCAAGAATGCCATTGTTGATGCAGTGTGGACTCACAGGGTGTTATCTACACAGTTGTTCTGTACTACACTGACTCTTGACAATTATGGGAGAGAAGGAGAGATGCCAGGATGGGAACCTTGACTACATCTCATAATAAAAAGAAGACACTGGCCCAAATCTGGGGGATGTGCCTTGACAAATTAAAGAATGTCATGTTCACAACTCCACACAACCAACTTATCCCTAAGCAAGATATCTACTACTTGTGAGAACTATTCTTGCTGACAACCACAGAACACAGCAAGGGCCCATTGAATTCTGGGTGCCCTTGCTCATTCCAAAGTACTAAATTCAAGATCAATGTCTCATTATTAACATCTCAGTCATCTGACCAGTTCATATTGGGAAGAGGTGTGGGTAATGAACATACGCAACTATAATTGTGAGGTCCCAGAGACTTTTAATTCAAGACATGGAGTGCCAATGGGGAACTAGGTAAGATGGCTGAAATTTCCACTGTAGTAAGCCAGTAGGAGGGAGATGTGAGGAAAGAGTGTCCCTCAACTTCCTAGGATCTACCTACCTCACCCCAGTCTCTCCCTTTCTGTATCTCCACTCTCTCCTTAGGGTGCCTTCTGGGGCCTCATGTTTGGCCTAGCAGTGGGAATAGTGCGCATGATTCTGGAGTTCTCATACCCTGCTCCAGCCTGTGGGGAGGTGGACAGGAGGCCGGATGTTCTGAAGGACTTCCACTACCTGTACTTTGCCCTTCTCCTCTGTGGACTTACGGCCATCATCACCATCATAATCAGTTTCTGCACAGGGCCCATCCCTGATGAAAAGGCAAGTGGTGTGTTCAGGCTGAGGCTCATGGGAACAATTCCTCTATCCCTAATGCCCAACCCCCCTATACACACACACACACACACACACACACACACACACACACACACACACACACACACTGGTTTTTATCCTATTGGATTAGGGTCTCACCTGCTGCTAAGCAGATATCCTTTGGAGGACATGCTCACTGGTGTATGAATTTCTAGGTGAGAAGTAACCCATTCAGTTCAAAGTTACGCATTGTCTACCCACTATGTGTCAAGTGTAGCGCTGGGTTTATAAAGATTAATGGTTCCTACCAACAACTGTCCCCAGGAAAGCAGATGCCAACACAAACTGTTAACTACATAGAGAGAAAGCATAGAAGATCTAGGCTTAATGAGAGAGGCTAAGCACAGAGGTCCAGAAACCGGCACACTGGCAATGTCTCTCTTTGATGGATTTAGAAGAAATAGAGATTTTTTTTTAATGGTATGAAAGAAATACATGAGAAAGGAACCAGAGAGCTGACTGCTCCCTAGCCTCTGAATACTGATGTCCAGTCTGTAGAAGCCTTTCTGTTCAGCCTGTTTGGCTTACTAAAGCCACTGTAATTACTTAACGCTGACTTGATGGCATAAACATTAAGAATTTGTCACATCACCTTTCTGGAGCCTGGAAGCCTGGGGTCAAGGGACCAGCAGATTATTTTCATCCGAGGACTCTTCTGCAGCTTAGAGATGGCCATCTTCTTCCTGAGTCTGCCATCTGTGTCTTTCTGGGACCTGATCTCAGTAAGGCCTGCCCACGTCACCCCATCTTGCCTTAATTATTTTCTAATAACCCTATCTGCACATGTAGCTATTATCTGAGATCTGAGAGCTAAGACTTCAACATAGAAAGTCTGACAGGGCACAATGTGACAGAGCCTGTGGTAGAAACTGGACCCCAAACATTGAGTGGCAGTCACTGTGTGTACTCTCACCTGTGTGGTGTCTGTGAGCTAGTAAAATGACCTTACTGCTCCCCTAAACAAGAGGAGATCTCACAGATAGGCAAGTGAGCTAGCTCTTCCTGTGGCCAGACATGGCCTCCTGCCACTGGGGTCTCTGCTTTTCCTTGTCTGAATTTTCACTCCTCACAGCAAAGGCATTTCCACATTAGAATCCATTCCTGGGTCATCTCTCACACCACTGATGTCAGCTAGAAAGCTTGTCTTTTAGTCTTCTGAGTCACAAAAAAAAAAGGGAAACGAGAAAAAGTTCAGGGCCATCATCTCTTTCCTCTGGTTATCGTGGTCTCTCCCCCTCCTCTCTACAGACAACCTTTAAAAAGAATAGCTTCCATTCCTATCTATGTTTTCTCAACCCACTACCTTTCACAGAACGCCGCTCAAACTGATCTCAGTGAAGTTACTTATATTCTTGTCGCTAAACTGAATGGTTAACTCTTCCTTGCTATGTTAAGTGAGTTCCAAGGAGAACTTGTCTCCACTGACCACATCCTGAACCTGGAAGACCCCTTCTCTAATCACGTCAGCTACACTTTGCTCTTGATTTTTGTTTTGTCATCCTAATCTTCTGGTCACTTCATGAACTTTTCTTTTACCTTAGAAACACCTTTGTGGTATGTTACTCTAGAGCGGTGGTTCTCAACCTGTGGGCTGTGACCCCTTTGGGGGTTGCATATCAGACATTCTGTATATCAGAATTTACATTAAAATTCACAACAGTAGCAAAACTACAGTTATAAAGTAGCAATGAAATAATTTTTATGGTTGGGGTCACCACAACATGAGGAACTGTATTATAGGGTCACAGCTTTAGGGAGGTTGAGAATCACTGCCCTAGAGTATCCCAGGGCTATAAATTCAACAACTGTTTATGGCACTCAATTCTGTCTCTATCCATTCTCTCAAGACTCAAACTGAAAATCCAACTGCCTCCTGGTGACATGAAGACACATTGCTCCTATGCTATTCGTGACACAGAGTGTGAGCATAAACTTCATAAATTTTACAGAGATGTGTACAAACAGATAAGCCTCCTGGGTTCTTATGATCCCAGACAGAGGCACACTTGGGCCTGATACAAATGAGCACATGGTGCAAAGTAGGACCATAGAACCAGGCAGTTGACACCTGGCTCTGCATGTGACAGAGCATCTGGGGCAGAGGAAGAGTTTTGCTGAAGGAGACTTTCAACATGGTTGGGTCTAATACCACTGGATGTCATCTAAAGAAGCTATGTTTTAGTTCTCAGGGTCAGGAAAAAGGGAGATGAAAAGTTACCAGGACCACCCCAGAGAGATAAGGCTTGTTTTCTCCTGATTGAAGGTGTCGGAAGCATTACAGACACTTCAAGCTCACCATCGTGTGTGTGTGTGTGTGTGTGTGTGTGTGTGTGTGTGTGTGTGTGTGTGAGAGAGAGAGAGAGAGAGACAGAGAGAGAGAGACAGAGAGACAGAGAGACAGAGAGACAGAAAGAGACAGAGAGACAGAGAGAGACAGAGAGACAGAGACAGTATCAGAGAGACAGAGAGAGAGAGAGAGAGCATGCATGAGTTTTTTCTCTCCTGCTCTCTCATAAAAACCCAAACCAACTCTTGTCTTGCATCTTCTATCCCTTGGAGACGCTCCGTTACCCTTGTCATCAGCTGAGCCGGAAACCAAGAGCTGTAGTTGTCTCTCCTCTTCTTCACCTGATCATTCCACAGGTCACCCCATCCTATATGTTTTATTTCCCTAACATCTCACAAAGCTGCTGCTTCCTGGGATGGAGAGACAGATGGGTGGCTGAGTGCTTGTCTAATATGTGTAAGGCCTAGGTCATATCCCAAGCTCTGCAAAACAAATAAATGCATAGATAAATGCATGACCTCTCTCCCTCCTTCTTGTTTTCTCAGGCGCCGAATACTTCTTTCCATTATTGTTTGATTCACTTTTCAACAGTTTCTTGGCTGGACAATTTCAATTCCCTCTGAGGGAGCTTTGAAAATCCTAGCTCACAGGTCTTTCTCTTTGTCTAAAGTCTGCAGTGGCCCTTGCTGGCTTTCAGGCTTTGTTTTTGTCAGCTATCAGCTTCTCTGCTGGACCTTTGAAGCCTTTCACTGGTGATCATGTACCTGCTTCCTGTCTGTCTTTGTTTCTCCCAGGTTGAGCTCCAAGCAGCTGGGGATTCCCAGCTCAGATCTCAATTCCAGCACCCAGCTTGGGGCTAACAGAGAGTGGGTACTCAAGAAAGGCTCCATACTTGAAGAAAGAGAAAATCAAGGTGCCCCCTCCCAGCCTCACCTTGTTCCTCACCCTGTTTTATTATTGTTCTGATGGCCTCTCATGAATGAGACTTCCTTCTCCACAGCAGGACTGTCTTCTGACTCCAAATGTTGTCTCCTCTTGTTCTAGCTTGCTCGCCTGACCTGGTGGACTAGGAATTGTCCCTTATCTGAGCTGGAGAATGAGGCCTCTGAGAGTGTGAATGAGACTGAGGCGGGAAACACTCCAGGGCTGGCAGAGAGGCCGGCTGTGGAGGGCCTTGCAAAAGATGGGGAAGGAACAAACACCACCCAGGGGCCTGAGCAACCAGGAGGTAGGTTGGGTGCATGTTGGCGTACATGTCACAAAGGAGCAATGGGCCAGGCATAATGCTGAGGATTTCCCCCCAAGGATGAATTTTGGGGTCACTGAGGATGTATGATTCTGGGAGGACACAATCAAAATCATCCTTTCACTTTCCTACATGACTACTAAATCCGTTAAGACAGATGAGAAAGACTGTCTTGGTAACTCGGGAGGTGGTCAGGTTTGGATTCTATCCATAGAGAGGTGCACTTCCTAATACTGAACCCAACACTAGACAGAGTGCCCACCCATTCTCCAGTAGATCTAACAATCAGCACAGCCTGGAGGAACTTATGGGCAGGAAACCAAACAGCATTACACCTCTTGAGTTCCCTCCACATAGAAGGGAGCATTAGGCATCACCAAGAAGCAGTCACCCTTATCCCTGTCTGCATTTATGCATTTATTCCCTCTTGTCTCAATGATACTGTCTGTAGTCACACGGAAGCCTGGCTGTCCCTCATGGGAAGAGTGTAGAGCAGGCCTACACAGTTCTGCTGTTGTCGTAGGGATACCTCAGGAAAACGGCCACTTCTCTGCCAGGCTCTTATATCTGCTAATGACTTCCCAGAGGTTGTTAACTGTGCTTGGATAGTACATTAATTAAATCAAAGCCATAATGTAACGAGGTCATAACCTTCCTGTAGTGAGATTAAATAATAGTATTAAGATACCCCGACAATAGAATGGCAACATTATGGGAATTTTTTTTCTGTTATAATATTCTCAAAGAAAAAATTTAAATTCCAAAAGTCACATCAGTTGCAAGTTAAAGTCCAAAATCAATTATCTTTACCTTATGAAGTAGAAATTTAATAAAATTTAAGTGCTGTATTTATTTCCAGCCTTAGTTAGAGAGATTCTCACTGCCTGGATGGAGCTGGGATTCTCTCTGAGGCAGCTCTACATCGATTTGGGCAAAATTCCATCAGACTTCAGACAGCCTGAGTGTCATTCCTGCCTCTGCAGTGCCCACCTCTGTAACTGCAGTAGGTTAAGCAGACACTCTTAGCAAAGCATCACTCACTGGACCTGCTGAGTTGCCGATGCTCTGCCATTCAGTTCTTCTGCATTCCCCAGGTCTAAAGCCCTGCACTGTCCCTCAGGCTTGAATGTACCCCCACTTTTTGAGGCTTTCACCTTCGTTCAGGGTTCTTGTGCTACACAAATGGTTATTTGTCAGTAGCTAATGATATCTTGAGCTCCAGAGCCATTGAGGTCTAAGGCTCAATACTTCTTGCCCAGGCTGTGGTAGTCAGAGGTCTGTGGAGCAATCTGTAAAGGAGAGGTGCTCTTTTTATAGGCACCACAGTCAAACACAGAGAGGCTCATTTCAGAAACACCTCAGGCCAAAGCCGCTCTCCCTGGCCTTACTGGTCATCCCACTTAGGTTCAGTGAATTTTGCTTGGCAAAATGTAGCTTTATTTTTTTAAATATAAGTTTTAAAGTCATGTACGTGATTTGGGGTGGGTCTCCCCCATCACTGCAAGGACCAAAGGCACCTACAAAGTTTATGAGCTAAAAAAGCCATTCTTCAAGCAATGGTGTAGGTGAGGCAGCTACCAAGGAAGAGAGGAAAGAGTGTCTGAGGAGGAGAGACTGCCCATGACTGGACACCAGCTACAGAGACAGACAGGCCCCTTGCTGGTTCCTGTGTCCAGGGCAAAGTAGTTCCTGCTGATACAAAGGAATGCCTGCTCCCCATGGACAACTACATGTAAGGGAGGAAAATGAGCCTCTGCGTCAGCCATGATGTCCACTGGAAATACAGCCTCTCTCTGTCAAGCCCCAATCCCATTACAAACCACCACTGTGGAGAGATGAGAGACCAGGGAAGGCAGCTGCTGATGCAGTGGATCCTTCTTGCTGAAACAAAGATGAGTCTGTCTGGTTTAGATGCTCCCCCTTCCTGGGAAAATCGGCTCTTTTTCTGTCCCCACTCGAGACAGGGGGGAAGCAGCCCCTTTAGCTTTTGTGAGCTGTGTGAGCCCAAGCTCAACACCTCACTCCACACTCCTGGCCTGGCCTGCATCCCTTAGACACCTGGGCGTTTGGACCTCACTTACACAGCCTCTCCCAGTCCCAGCACTGGCAGCCTCTGTAGTGTTGTCAACCTTCATTCTCATTAGATGCTTAAACAACTCTTGGAGCAATGCAGAACATGTCACTGAGACATATGGGGGAGAAAGCGCCTGCCACTAAGGGGAGCCGGGCTTACACATGGCCTTATGCAAGGCTGGCCCTGCTGCCAGGTTCCTGACCTCTAGCTCAGTATCAGGCCCCACAGCCAGGAAAATTAGTCTGTCTGGTTTAGATGCTCCCCATTCCTGGGAAAATCGGCTCTTTTTCTGTCCCCACTCTGCACTGGTGCTCAGGAGGAGGACACATGATGCTAGCTTAGACACATCATCTCCCGTAATGAGATACTTCTGAGTTGTGACCATTTGGATGCTATCACCAAGGTCATAGCTCACTCTAGAGACCCAATTTAGAGCCTTACAAAGTATCCTCCCCATGTGTACCCCATTCCTTCCTTCCATGTCTTACCATCCCCCACTCTTTCATCCCTTGTTCAACCTTCCCTTTCTCCATCTTTTCTTCCTCCCCTTTCCCTTCTCCTCCTTCTCTCCTTATGGACTGTGTCACTCAGCCCTACATAGGTCCTGGGGAAAATGGCTGTGGAGCTGGTTCTGTGGACTCTCAGGGGCCCCACAGCAAGTCCTGAGCTCGGCTGAGAAAGCTGCACTGGAAAAGAAGCTGACCAACATCGAGGAGGAGCCACTCTGGAGACATGTCTGCAACATCAATGCCATCATCCTGCTAGCCATCAACATCTTTCTCTGGGGGTATTTTTCGTAACTCCACAGACCAGTTGAAGTGATTAAAAAACATCTGAACCGTGGCCAGGACCAGAGGCCAGAGACAGGCTCTCTTCCCACCTTGCTGTGCTAACTGGAAATCACAGAGGCAAAGAGTGAAAGCCCATGAAGAACATCCAGTCCAATGCCTGGCACATGGAGAAATGAAGGACTAGAGACATCACTAGGACTGCCCAGGGTCACAGAGCAGGACTCATACTGGGTCTCCAACTCCAGCTTTCTTTCTGCTACACTGTCCTGTAACCCTACCTCAAAAACACCATTTCCTTGCTTTATTCAAGAATCTTCATTGTTATGCATATCTTCAGGTTAGACACATAGTAAAGAAAATGAGTAGAGAATTCTATAAAAATTATCCAAGTACACTGTGTTTCCCCCATTTCTCTTATCCTCTTTCCCTTTCTGCTTCCTCTCTCCTTCTCCCTTGCCTGCCTTGGCTTGCAGTAATGTGTAGCATGAGTCCAGTGAGGAGGGCTTTATTATGCCATTGGTTCCCCAGTTGTGGCTGCCAATCCCATAAGAGTGAAGGGCAGAGGTAAGAGACAGGTGTCCAGGGCACAGGGCTCCTAGACCAGGATTCTCCTTGGCACAGTTCTAATTCTTCTTCTACCATCACACCTACTCCTGCAGTATCCACAGCTTAGGGGCTTAAGGTCCAGCTGGAGAGGCAAAATATGTTGAAAGCAATGAGAATCAAACAGCCCTAGAGAGTGGAAAGGACAGCCTGGGGGTGGCACTCTAAGGTCTGTATCCCTTTACCTTTACCTGCCAAAACTCCTTCCCTGAAATATACCAGAGACTGTGACCTTGTGTAACTTCCCAGGAAACTTTCCAAATGCTTCAACCTGGGTCAAGGTCCCGACCAGCCGCCACAGTGCATAAGCTGTGTCCCTGTGGCCCTTATCACACTGCCTTGTAGTGTTTTCTCTTTCTAGATAGTGAATGCCTAGGAGCAGGGGTCAATGGTTATGTCCAACCTGACTTTGTATTGATAAATAAAAGAAGCCAATAAATGCTTGTTAGGTTCATATGCTCTTCCAAGCCCTATGGACTTTACTCTGTTGATGGGGGGCAGAGATCTGGGGAGTTGGTTTCCTAGGTGGAGACTCCTTGAGATATCAGAAACAGCTAAGTCTCAAGCATCTAGGCTGAATGGTACAGATGCAGCTGGGAATGGCCCTTTTCCCTCTCCTCTGGTCCTCTGCAATGCTGCCTTTGATCACCAAGTCAATTATCTCTTACTCCAACTGCAGACAAGTAAAACTCCATTTCATTGACCTGCAGACACAGATACATCCCTGAACCTCTCCTCTTTCTGCTGCCTCCAAATTTTTGTTTCCAGGGAATTTCTGACCTCACTGTACCTTTGTCTCAGAGGATAGCATGCTCTGTCTTTCTTCATGGACCCTGGCTGAGAATTACGGCTTCCTTCTGACTTCCTCTCAAACCACTCACACAAGTCATTTGTGTAGCAAATCGTAAAGAAAAACTGGGAGGGAATGGATTTCAACAGGAGCATAGTCTAAAATTGAATTCTAACTGACCTACCTTCTGTTTTGAAAGAGGTCTTGTGTAGATCAGGCTGGCCACAAACTTACTATATAGCTAAAGATGACCTTGACCTCATGTGTGTGTGTGTGTGTGTGTGTGTGTGTGTGTGTGTGTGTGTGTGTGTGCTCGTGTTCATGTATGCACATGTAAGCACATGCACATGGATGCCAGAGGTAGATGTTTATTTTTTAGCCACGGTCTCTTAATGAACCTGGAGTCATGTGCCATGTGCTAACCCTGCTTAAGTGCTCTGTGGTAGGCTTCTCATTCCCAACTAGAGATGGTATCTGAAGTTATCAGTTACAGGTATGATGGACACAGGTGGCCTGAAACTGTAGAGTGACACTACTGTAGAGCTAGCACAGCCTGCCGATGAAGTAATTGATGAGGATGGGAGCACAATAGGAAAATGAGAACTGGAACTGGACTTTGGGGGATGGAGCTTCCTAGAAGTTGTGTAAAGTGAAAAAAAAAAAAAAAGGTCAGCATGTGCAAGCGTGCAAAAGTGTTAAAGAGCAAGAGTATATAACAGGCTCCCATAAAATAGGGACCTCACCCACTCATTTGTGAATATTGACTCTATTTAATTTTCCTCAGAGTCATGCTTGCTTTCAGTATCTATCTGGTGAGGCAGAGCTGGGAGATTTACTGACAACAGACAGGAGAGAATGGATGTCTGGCAAGTAAAGCGGAGGCTGGCAGTACCTTGGGTGTCCATGAGTTCACTCTCCTGTGACCGTTTTCTGGTTGTGGAAAGATTCTGAGCTTCCTGCATAGAAGTGGCTACCAAGGCTGAGAGTTAGCTAACATACCTGCTTCAGCCCCAAACCCATGGTGAACAGGACACTGGTATACAGTACAGCTGAGAATTAGCTAATATGTCTGGTTCCTGAACCCATGGCGACCAGGACACCAGCATACGGCACAGCTGAGTGTTATCTAATACACCTGATGCAGCCCGAACCCATAGTAAACAGGAGACCAGCACAGAGCAGAGCTTAGCATTATCTCGTACACCTCGGGCAGCCCTGAACCCCGGTGAATGGACACTGATATACAACACAGCTGGTGCCTTGCCCTTAAGCGAGACAGTTTAGCCTTGGTTTTTTCTAAATCCCCTTGCAAAGGTTCTCAGGTGGTTGGGTTCTGAGCACAGCACCAGCATGCTCATTCATATATCTGCAAATGTTCCCCTTCCTTCCTGTCTCATCTTTCCGCTTCCCAGATGCAGTTTCCTCAGAATAGCTACCCAGGTAAACTCCTAGGACCTAATCTAGGGGCATGCTGGAAAACAAGTCAAGTGTCTTTGGGGAAGAAATCAGTCTTCTCCAGGTTTTTGTGAAATGATGGCAAAACTGGGAGACTTTAGACCATCACCCCCCCCCACCCCACCCCCACACACTGCTCCATCACCAAGTCTCAGCTCCATTTCTGGCCACATGGAGGGTGCTTGGGAGACGGTGCCAGACACAAGAAAGAAAATAGTAACAACAACAAAATACCTTTGAAGTGGCCTCTGGTTGTGAGGTTTTACAATGCATATTTCTCCTGTCTTGTTACTGACCATTAAGATAACCTGCAACAGGCCAGGCTCTGTTCTACACAGAGAGTGCCCTAAGTCGGTCTATCTGTGATGCCTTACTCCCCAGCTGGACTCTGAGAACCAGGACATCTCTACTTCAGCTGTAATAATGGAGTGCAAGGCAGTGGAAAGGTAAGAGTCATATGCTGGAATCAGGGTACCTGAGCTCTGCTCCTAGAGCCCAAGATCTGAATACACAAAGGAGAATTCCAGTAACTGCTTGTTCATGGGATAGTGAGGTGAGTGGAGACAGAGTCAGGGGTAAACAATGAAATGGTGTAGCTAGAGGCTTACAGGTGAGGGTCAGTTCAGGGGAAAAAATGAAGCCTTCCCGTGAGGGTGGGACACATTTAAGACCCTACAGGGTGTCAGCAGCTACCAAGGTCCCATGAAATAAAAGATGTTGCAAAGGTGATGAGCAAGCCAGCTTTGACACAGGTGGAGCTGGAGGACAGTAGACATTTGGAATCCTGGGTCCACCCCAAAGTCTTGGGTAGATCTACCAATGGCACACAAATTGCCATCCTCTGTGTGTGTGTGTGTGTGTGTCTGTGTGTGTGTGTGTGTGTGTGTGTGTGTATGTGTGTGTCTGTGTTTGTGACTGTGTGTGTCTGTGTCTGTGTGTCTGTTGTGTATGGGTCTCTGTGTATCTGTGTGTGTGTGTCTGTGTGTGTGTGTGTGTGTGTGTGTGTGTGTGTGTCTGTGTGTGTGTGTGTCTGTGTGTGTGTATTGTTTGTCTCACTTTCACCATCTAGAGTTCCTCCCACCAAGCCATCCTTCCTCTGTCTTGTTCATGTGGCCCCTTCTGCCTAGGACACTCAACTCCTGACCTTTTCCCCCAGGCCTCCTAGTACCTGCTCATCACAGGAACCATCTCTTCCAATGACTTACTGATGCCTCTTACCTAGAGTTCTGGGTCCCTCTGAGTCCCCACATGCTGTGTTATTTCAACTATAAGAACCTCATTCTAGTGTTACAATTCCTTTTCATCTCTCCTTTGCCATAGATAAATGCTCTTTAAAGGTGGGCACTAGGTTCACCCAGGGATTACATATGCCAGGAAACTTAGTAAGTGCTCAAAAAATACCCAGTGAATGAATGAATATTAAATTATGAGATATATTTAAATTAATTCATGAATTCACTACACAGTATTTTGCCTGTTATTTCCTGATTCCTAGTCATAACCAACAGCAGTAATTAGAAGCAGCTGTCTATACAGCCTTCCAGATTCCACAATCATGCTGAGCATGAAGTCTCATTAAATCCTACAACTCCTAGAGGAAGGTAGGCAAGTCTTAGCATCTTTCCAGAGAGGATGGTCACTCCCATGTGAGCTGCAGGACAGCACAAGGGAAATTCAAAGGAGAAGGGCACCTTCACATTCAGAATGCCAATGTATTTGGAGACCCATCAGCTACAATTGAAAGCTAATTCAAAGGTGATGAGTGAGCCAGCTTTGATATAGGTGGGGCTGGAGGAAAGGACATTTGGAATCCTGCGTCCACCCCAAGGTCTTGGGTAGGTCTACCATGGGCACACACATCACCTTCACATGCCCGTCATTTGTAGATCAGACTCCAAAGTGACACATCAGCCTCTTACACTACTATGCTTCTTTGTCCCCTTTACAACCATATCACCTTACCATATTCTTTGCTCTTCTAGCAAGGTTCCATTCTCAGGCTCAGGTCTCAGGCTCTGCCTGTTTATCTGTGAGTGGACAAGAAGTCACTTAGTCTATATTAAATGGTATTTCAGCATTGTTCTAGCCTTCAGTATGTACTCTGTGTGTGTGTGTGTGTATGTGTGTGTGTGTGTGTGTGTGTGTGTGTGTGTATGTGTTG